GTGCACTCCAGGGCAGGAATGTTTAAAATGCTTCACAGAATATGCATTTTAAATCTGTTATTGCTTAAGAAGCTCTCTGTAATGGGTATGTGGGTGAAAATCAAGGTGTGCTTCCTGACAGTGAACTTTTAAGCAGCCAGACTTTGTCAAACAAGAAGAGCTCATTGGTGTGAAGAGACGCTCTGTGTCTTTGTGTGATGGGGAAAAGTTGAGGTTTGTTATGTAAGCGAGATTTGGATTTGGAGGTGACCACTGGTGTCTCAGACAGTGTTGATTAGGGAAGCAGATCAGAACATATGTCTGTGCACCGATCGGTCTTTGGATCGCAGCCCAGTAGGCTGACTCATGAAAAAGGAGTTATGTCACGACGCCGTTGCCACGTTACCACGACGGATCTGAGCCTCAGTTTGGGCCTCAGAACTTCCAGATAATAAAACCGAGGTCTGACATTGTTGGAATTAGATAAAGATGATCTTATTTTCCTGCTGAGGAGCAAAGTAGAATGGCTTTGTAGCTTAAAACACATAAACATACTGTAGAGCTTTGGTGTCACCCCAAGAAAAATAATTCACTATAGGAAGTAAATACTTGCTAGTTTTGATTTTAAGGTGCATGGTGTTGATCTTTGGTTTGACCAGTGTGCCAGGAGACCATATGGGAGGCTTTCAAGATCTTCTGGGACCGACTGCCAGAGCAAGAAGAGTACCAGAGCTGGATGAACCAATGCCAGGAGGGTTTAGTCACTGCAAAAGATATTGGCAGCTACTTCAGCCAGTCAGAGGAGCATCAGACTCTGGTTAAAAAGGTGAGTTAATGACTAGTATTTCAATAAAAGTGCACATCTTAACAATATAATGAGTCTATTATTTAACATTTGTTGGCTGTAAATTTTCAGGATTTGCCAGTTTGGTCAAATTACAGAAAATGATGATTTAAATTACAAGCGACACTTTGTTAAATTACATTCCATCCATGAGAAAATAGAATGAAAGCAGATTATTACGCACATTATATCCACAGAAAACATTTGTAGTTTCACAGGTAATGACATGTATTTTTACTACATGTGTTGACTGTAAACTTACACCTTTTAACTCTAATTAAATGTGGTCAAGTGATCATTACTTTACATATATTTGCTGTTAGTTAGGGCTAGAAAATGTTCAAAAATGTTTAAATATGATATCTCATAAAATTGTTTTCTATTTCCAGAGAATGTCATTGCAAGGTTTGAAAAGGTAAAAGAAATTCACCACCTTTCCTCCCCCATTTTAATGATACATGAATTATCTCATCTTTCAGTGTGTGTTTTGTAAATGTGTCATTCTTCCCACCATCTGTAGTGAGCCCACCAGGTCCTGGCAGCATATGTGCAGGTGAGGTTGTCAACCTTACCTGTTCATATTCCCGCTCAGTTACCAAGCTTCAAATCGTTCAACTTGTTTTTTGATTTTTTTGTGTCCTTATTTCATTTGCATGTCCTAGTCTTAGATATTTGTATCTGAGCTTTACTAACTGTGGAGTTCCCTCTCTAAAGGATAACATTATTGGCATTATTTTTATCTTTTATGATTATTGTTGACATCAAATAAAGTGAAAAGACCAAAACCAACAATGTGGGAGTTATAAGTATAGTATAAACATAAATCAACACTAAAATGTAGCTGCAAGCAGATGTAAGTACATTACTGTTGATAAATGTCTCCACATATAATAACATTAGTGTGAATTATAAATAATTCAATAAATGTTTATATAGCAATAATAAAAGCTCAGTAGGATTGTTAAGATCCTTGTGTTTTTTTTCATTAAAAACCACTGAACCTTAGATGTGTCAGCACATCAGGAAGAGAGAGAAAAAGAGCTATGTCTGAATAATGATAAATAATATAATAAATTAATAAAGCACACCGGCTCTGGTAAATGTCATGCATGCAGAGATATAACATTAACCCTATTCAGGACTTTCATGTAAGACTTTCTTTTTCTTTTGGCCCCCGATGGTATGTGTGCAATATTTTTTTTTTTTTTTTTTATAGTGTTTTATGCTTTTTTTGTTGAGTTGTTTGATTTGTTGCTGTATTTGTTTTCAATTTCCTTGTTTTTGTCTTTTTTTCTATATTTTTAAACATATCTTAACAATTCCTGTCCCCTTAGCTGTTGGTTTGGGGTCTGGCCTTGGGTCTAAGTGTTGTGTATGGTTTTGGGTTTTTTATGTGTTGTGTTCTTTTTTTCACCCCTGTGTGGTTTTTTGTGGGGACTATATTTTTTTTCGTTTTATATATATGTGTGTGTGTATATATATTTAGATGGGTTTGGTCTCTTTAAGTAATTTGGTTAACAACACAAACAAGTTATCCTTTAACCTCTAGCTGCATCATTCTCTACCCACAGTGCACATCCCATTAAAGCCTGTGTTTTGTGCCTTTTTTAAAAATATATTTTACTAAATGTGAAATTTGACTTCAGCACAGTTAAAACTTTCCTCTCCTGTTTCGCAGCACTCCAACGCCTCACACACGAGAGGCCATCGAAGCTCCTGAGCTCGGTCAGTGTCACACCTGATAACACTGCAAGCATCCCCGTTTGGTTGTGTGGTTTTGTATTCTGTTGTGGTTTCTGTTGTGTTTTTCTGTGTGTTTGGTGTGTCGGTTTGGCTTTTGGCCACATCAGCCTAAGATTTACCAAGTAGTCAGGGTCAAGACGGTCTAATCCATACAACCATTAGCAATCATGGCACTTGCCAAAGGTTTAGGCTCACATCCACTTGAAATAAACCATCAATCCTTTTCTTTTTTCTTTTTTTTTCTTTCTTGCACATGAACTCAACCACCCAGAAGAAACAGCTGAAGAAGAGGCGGAAGATGCAACGGAAATCTTACCAGAGGTGGAGGAGAATCCAGTGAGTGTACACATATACAGATTTCAACAGATGCTTTCCTAATGTGCACACTGAGCTGTATATGTTTCTCATGGCACAGCTGGACAACGACATTGCGGTGCAGCCTCCCACCCCCGCTGTTCTGGAGCAGGTGGTGGAGCTGAGCATCCTCCTGACCGGGGAGATGTACAACGCCGACCTCGACGATCCGGCCAGCTTCCAGTACCAAACGCTCAGCAGGCAGCTCGCTGAAAAGGTTCGGCTCAGTCTGTTCCTCCTGATAACTCTTCTCGGTGCTACTGTGCCTTGGCACCGACCTGAACCCGCTACATCTACTGGTTTATGGTCTGTGATTGTTGCATTGCGTTTAACGGCAGCAGCAGTTAAACCCAAAGAGCTTGGCATGGGCTCAAACAAACACAGGTTTTTACGGTGCTTCGGTGGGTACGGTGGAATAACAACGTGCTGAAAACGCAGCTTTATGACGTGTCTTGGGAATAGATAAACTTTTGCACATGCGTGTGTTTGCACAGGTAGTCACGCTTGGAAGCAACTTTTAATGGTTTTACAGGTTACTCGGAAAATTTAGTGTATGGGCTTTTCTCCTTTTTCCAGTCAGCTCGACACGCAAATGCAGAGAGGGCACAAACACACATACAACTTGTAAATCACAGCATCACATATATCATGAAGTACATTTTCTGTAGGTGCTTGATTTTTATGTGATGTGTTGAGATTTTTCCCGACTGCTCACCTGCTGTTTTTTTATGCTTGGTGGGGATTTCCTGCATAAGATCTACACACACTTTCACATACAGTATTATAACCCAGTGCACATGCTACATACGCTCTGGCTCACATGCCTGGAAGAGATTAAGGTGTATGTGGAGGAAGTGCAGCGGGGAGGAGGACAGGGACGAAGGAGTCAGACGTAGTAAATGAACGTAAGGAAGGAGGGATCGGAGAACAAGTCTGCAGACAGAAGGCCCCGGAGACCTTTTTGCGTCCTTCTTCTTCTCCGATAGATTAAATTAACTGGGTCAGTGAGTCTGCAGAACAGTATAGGTATTCTTTTCCCTCGTATCATATATAGAGAAGCGAGGCCTTGTATAGCAATAAAAACGAGTCCCTTGAAAGTTGGCTGCAGTGCAGGAGTCTGACTTATGAGAGTAAGGATCAGAAACACAGGACGAAAGACTCGAGACCTTTGAATTACTCTGAGCAAAATAAGTCTTTCTGGAACAATAAATCAGATTTACTTTGGCAGGCAAGTTTATTGTAGCCTCCTCAAACAACAACAAAAAAATACATTGTTAAAAAAAATAAAAAGCCTGGTTAAAAAAAAGAAAATCTTCCAGCAAGGGTGCCAGAAAAATAAGTTAGAAAAACTGTGGAATATTGTAATGTCTAAACACTGTAAAAACTATGAAATGAACAGCAAATTTACAGTCACACAGCAAATTATTATTTGTAAAAATACTGATTTCTTTTGGCCTGCTTTTTTAATGTTATTTTTTTACAGTCAACATGTAAATGATTTTTTAAAAATGAGTTTATTATGTGTTAATATAACAAAACAGAAAAAAATCTGTTAAAAAACCCCCCAAACATCTTTAATACTTAAGATACGTAATTATTCTGTGATGTAAAATAGATTTTTGTTGTGGACATCATGCACAGTTTTGGCCTATTTTTCACATTGTAGAAATGAATACTTTTTTCTGTAATTTTACTAGATATTAGCTCTAATTTAACACAACAGGGGAAATCTGCAAAATGACATGTTGAAAAAATTATTTAGCATTTTAGTTGTTATCTGTGATTTAACGTAATTAGTGAAATCTGTAAAATAAAAGCAAATACTTTTTTTAAAAAATTACAGTTTTAAACATTAATTTTCACAGTCTAATGGCTTTATTCTGATGCTTGATCTTGTTCGTCTTTGCAGATTGAGGACGCTCTGCAGAAGCTTCCCGGATTTAAGAGCGTGTCTGTGATCGACTTCAGGTCAGTTTCTCTCCTATTATAATGTTGGACAAAACAACTGGATTTCACATTACGGCCCAAACTACCTCATTTAGTGGCATTAACACCATTTCAGCCCTCAGCAGAAGTTTAACAGCTCCTCCTTGTTTCACTTAGACCGCAGACTGACGCCCAGGGGTGAGTCATCGGTGCACACGGTGGTACTTTGACCTTGAATAGTTCTCCCGATCCCGTCTTGTGTTTAAGCCCACAGATCCCAATCAGCTAGAGCTGTTTGTGTGTGTGTGTCTGTGTGTGTGTGTGGCCTCACCTTTATCACACTGTGTTTACCTGTGAGTGTGGGCACGTGTTGAGGTGTGTCACTAGTTGCCTGGGTTAATGGTTTTAGTGCGGTCACTCACCTGCTAAGTTGGATCAGGATGGGTCCAACCAAGTGAGCAGGTGCTCCTCCATAGAGACGATTATCCGAGCATTACGACCTTGCCAAATGATCCTCTGGTGTGGATGGGGAGGAGGATGGTTAGAGGGAAAGATGTGGATTCCAGAGTGCAAAAAAAAATAAAAAATCTTGCATTCAGTTTTTAACATTTTGGAATAAATGCTTATTTGCTTTCTGATGAAGTTTGACGAGAAGATTCATCGGTCTCACAGCAACCATGCAGTCAGCACAAAACTGCAGGAAACGCCCTGTTAGCTTAGCTTAATTCAAAGGATGGAAACAGAGGGAAACGGCGCCGTCCAAAAGTAACAAAATCTGCCTACCGGTACTTCTAAAGCTCACTAACGTTACATCTGGTTTGTTTAATCTGGACAAAACAGAAGAGTAGAAATGACAGCTCACCATTTTACAAGGTGTGGTGTGCCTCACTGTATTTTGGCTGCGACCGTATACTTCCTAGAGTCTGCGTGGAGCCAAGAAACAGTCCTGCACAGCGCTCGTCATACAAAAGCAGCTTTTTTTTTTACACTTTGTTTGCTATGCTGGTTAAAGACTTAAGATTTAATGTGTTCACTAACGAGCTTTAGATGTGTTAGAAGGTGGATTTCGGTGTCTCTGGATCAGGGGTCGACCAATGTGTTTATCTCTGGGCCGACACTGATGCCAATTATCAGTAATCAAGGAGACTGATGGCTGATATTTGACATTGATATGCATTTGTAGTAAAAATGAACATCTTGGTGTTAAAATTAAGAACACAAACTCAAACACAAAGCATCGTTGAAATGCCTTTGTCTATTTATTAATACATACACCCAATTTGAAGTCAGCATTTCAACATTTCTGGTGCTGATTGGCTGTTACTCATAATATGCAACAAATCAGTGATGCTGTCGGCGGGACATTGTTCCACAGAGTGGTGACGACAAACAGAGAGAAGCAGCTGCATCAGAGCCAAAGTAGCACTTTTTAAAAGTACGATTTTTTCATCAAGAATCACATATTGATGCTGATAATTAGAAAAAGGCTGAAGATCTGACCTGATAATTGTTTGATTCCCTATTTGCTACAGAGCAAAGCCAGCCTAGTTTGCCCCTGTGTCAAGAGCCTATGCTAAGCTAAGCTAACTTAATAAGCAGATGTATCTTCTCGCTTAACTTTTGGAAACAAAACTAAATATTTGAACTATTTATTTAAATTTCGTATAATTAAAATGTTTTTATATAAATTCCTGATCTGCGAAGGAACTGCAAACTACAGCAATCAGTTAAAGATTGAAAGGTAAATAGTTTGTCTCTGAAATGTCATGCAATACAAGTAAAAACAGTTGCAAAATGAAAATATATTAAGTTTTTAAATTCATATATTTTCTATATACAGATTAAAATATGCTTAAACACAGTGCTTGAGTAAAATGTATTTAGCTGAAGTCATGCTAACAAGTAAAATTAAGAGATTTTTAATGCACATCCCATTTTTTAAAACTTAATTTTGTATATCATATAGACAGAAATATTCAGTTTGATGTCTTTAGTGGCAATTCACAACATAAGTCACGTCAGAGCATTTTGCATCCATATTATAGAGAAAAACCTCAATGATTCCTTAGAGCAAACATTTGATAATGGTAAGAAGAAAGACCCTCAGCAGAACCAGGACATGGACGGCTGTGGTTCAGGTGGTAGAACGAGTTGTCATCCATCGTAAGGTTGGCGGTTTGATGCCCTGCCCCTCCACAGTCGAAGTGTCTTTGGGCAAGACACTGAACCCGAAGTTGCTCCCAATGGCAGGCAGCACCATGCATGGCAGCTCTGTCACCATTGGTGTGTGAATGGGTGAATGAGAAACACATTGTAAAGCGCTTTGGATAAAAGCGCTATATAAGTGCAGACAAACAAGACAAACAAGAGAACAATAAACACGAGGCAGATTGGTGAGGCCAGCATCAGAAATGTGCAGCTGAGCAGCCAAAGATACCTGCAGAGGGGCACAGGGAGAGAGAGGACAAAGCACAAAACACGGAGGAAATAAGACCCCGACCTTAATGAAACTCTTGGAGAATGAAAGAAAGCAGAGCCGAGGAGAGGTGCTCAGTGCATAATGGGAGGTCTCCCTGCAGCCCAGTCCTATAGCAGCAGAACTGCGGGAATGTGCAAACATACATATACATTAAGTACATTTAGAAGCACCCTCTTTATTGCTGCAATTAATCTTGCATGCTGCCGCTAACTGCAGACCACAGGGCAGAGCTGGAGTAGAGCCCCGTCTGCTCTGCTCCGTCTGCCTGTCTGCGAAACAAAAGGGGGGAAAAAACTGGGTCTCCTTCTAAACGGGGCCGACTGTGGGCCGGCACGTGCTCAGCCGGCCGCCAGAAACCCAACAAACTAGGTCAGAGTGGAGGGCTCCCAGTAGTCAAATGAAGGCTGATAGATGACTTTTTCCAGGGCCTGGAATCTCTTGTGAGGTTTCCATGTTTATTATGATGATATTGATCATTCTGCTGACTCGGCTGTTTTTTTTTTTTTTTTTTTTGCCCTATACAGTCGCGCTCCTGTGTTCCAGGCAGAAATAAATCACTTGAGTCATCAGTCATGTGTGAGCGCTCTACAGCTCTTTTAACAGGTTTGACGTTAAATCAAGCTAATGCCTGAGCGATTTTCTCCATCTTTTCCTCTTTTAGAGAACCTTATTATTGTAAATGTTCTTATAAGATGAATGTATAATGTTGTTGGGATACTAATGTACTGACTCTCCTCTCATTCTTAATTGAATACTTTGGTGTTCTTTAGCAAGGGTTATAGTTGAGCTGTGCAGTTGCTGAAATTAGGACAGATGAGAGCTTTTGAAGGGGCGGTTAGGGTTGGAAATATTTTTCAAATCAATACCAAAATTTACATCGGAGTTGAGATTAAAAGGTCATTCTTTACTCTGAAAACAGTCATTTCGGTGAACAAAACAATTTCACTGCAAGACCTAATTAGTAGAAGTGGCAAAAGATTTGGGGAGAGATATATTCTGCAATGTACTTAATGTAAATGCACAACTAATCAGTTTGGTATACAAATCAATGATAAATTCTATCCCATTTACTGACATCAAACAAACATTTTCAACCATTTGTGTTTAGTTAATTTGCATAATTTTGTGAAAGAAAGACAGTATAACTACAAAGCAGCAGCTGAAGCCACACAAAAGTCTGAATTGGCCATGTTTCCCTCTCTTAGCTGGGATCCTTGTATGCACTGGACCTAACAGCTACATGTTTGCGTCCCCAGGCTGGATGGTGTGGTGGTGGACTATGCGGTCACAGTGGTGGTGGATGGAGCTGGAGTGAGCAATGAACAGTTGGACTACCTGACGCTGCAGTCAAACCGGGTGGAGAACTCGTACCGTCAGATCAAGGAGCACTCCACGGAGGTCTACGCCATCAGCGAGGTCAAAAACGTTCTCACCGAAGCCCTTCACAACAACGAGCAGGAGAGCGGTAAGACGATGGCCGCCGCTGCACCACTGCCAGTCTGCCCAAAGATATTCCCTGCACTGTAACACAACCCTCACATGTCTTCATTATAGCTATTTATTTAATTCGCATGGCAGTGAAGTCACCGGGAATGCGTTGGCAGAGGTGGTGCATGCAGTGCAGGGCAAACCTCCATGTGTCATATCAAATAGAGACACAGTAGGCCCTGCACTGATATTACAACATACGGTACACCACTTGAGAAAACATTCCAGGGTTTTAATAGTCTCATCTGTTTCTTATTTGACGCTCTTTCTGTCAAAGACAGAAACATATTTATAAGAAGTTTCAGCTCAAAAGTGGGCCATTTCTAATGAACAAATAACAGACTCATCAGTTATAGGAGCTGTGTATTTATTTTGTGCTACACTTAAATCCTTGTCATTAAATGGCTTGCAAAGAAGAGCTCAGCAAAAAAGGACGTTTGAAATGAGAGCGCTAGTTTTTTTTTCTTTTTTAAACTTTACTTTAATCCTTTATTTTGGCTTCCAAACTGTGGATCCGACAGTTAACTCAAAAGAATCCTCCCCTGATTTAACATTGCTCTCCTGTCACGCTGTCAGACTTATGACGGGCACCGATAATCGATGCAGCAGAAGCCGAGATATTGTGTTTTTTTTACTCCTCACTTTCTTCTTTCTTGTCAAAATTTGATGCCAACATTACCCACAATGCACCTCAGTCGCGGTTAGAGATCAAAGGGTGTTGTGCTAGTGGCAGCTAATGTTGTCTCTGGCTACTTGTCTTGGGCTCTAGATGAGCAGTGGGCTGTAGAAACATCCATGCAACCAAACTCAGACACTACTTCAGGAGTTCCCTTTAAAGCTATAATATGCAACACTTCCACAATGAAATGTCTATTATATCTATTTACTTGTGTACTTAGATTATTGCAAATTTTGCCACAATCTTTAAACACAGTAAAATTTTTAATTTAACTCAAGCTAGCGGTACATTTCATTTTCTGTCAATGGCGTCATATGCTCGTTACATCCCCGTAGCCAGAGAAAAACAAGGTAATTATCTCTTGAATAGAGGAAAACATTTAGATGAAGTGTGACCTTGTTAAGGTACGTGTCTGCAGTGGTGTTTTTACAAGAGAGGAAACACGCTGTTTCACAACATGGCATGCTTAATAACCATGTCACTAGGTGGTGGGATGACAGCTGCTTTACTGGAAACCAGTCCTGTAGAGGCATCATCCCAACACGACGGCTCACTATCACTAACGTTCTCTTTTTTATTACGAAAACAGTTAAACAAAAAGTATTTCTGAAAACATTCAAAGAGAGAAATGAGCTATGCCGTTGCTAAATTTGTCCTCATGTTCGTTTAACAGTGGCTCATTTGCATAAAGTAGACGCGATCTTTATGCAAATGAGGTTTAGGCAACATGGGGAAACATGACGTCTCATCGCTCGAAATGCGATGTGACACTACCAGAATGCAATTAGGAGCGGTTCACATAGACAATAAATAGGAAGTTGTGACGGAACCTGTGGACACGATTTCGGTTAGTTGTCTTATTTATTGTTAAAAAATTATACCAGCAAACAAAACCTGCTGGCTGCTCTGCTCTCTATTTCATATATTTATGGAATTTACTTATCAACTGAACTTGCTTCATTGCTTGGCATCAATACTAACTCTGCTGTGTTTATATGAGCCATGTTGTGTAGATACACCTGAATGCTGCTGACTGAAAAGCTTCATAAATGGTGTGCAGACTCCGCTCACTTTGTGCATTACAAATGTACACGTTTGTGAAGGTGAGGACCCACATTAAACACCAGATGATATGTAAGGGAGTGCAGAAGGAAGATGAAGAAGTTGGTGAAGTGACGAGCTAAAAACATTCCTCTCGTTCCTCTCGTACTGGGCAGGATTGCTGTTGCAACAACACATCATCAGTAGGGTAAAACTAACCTGTCTCACGACGGTCTAATCCCAGCTCACGTTCCCTGTTAGTGGGTGAACAATCCAATGCTCTGTGAATTCTGCTTCACAATGATAGGAAGAGCCGACATCGAAGGATCAAAAAGCGACGTCGCTCTGAACGCTTGGCCGCCACAAGCCAGTTATCCCTGCACAAGCTCGCTTGATGATCGTTGATGATTGCAATGGATCATATTTCGTTGCATTGTAATTTTAGAGATTTCCTCGTCTTTGAACTTGACTTTGCCCGAGACCCATCAGATAGATTTGCATTCTCAGTGAGGATGGAGACAACAACACCCATGATCCCAGGCTACTTCTTAAAAACATCAAACTATGTCTTTTGTTATTGTTTTGATTGGGAGACCCTTAGAAATCACGAACTGCGCCTTTAATTCATTGTTGCTGAGCAAACACACTTAGATTCAGGCAGCCAGTAGTAGTAACTAGGTTAGCTACCTCCTACGTTTCACCGGGGCCTTTGAATGATGTGATAATGTCTATACCATCTCCTCGCTCCCCTGTGAGATTTCTCCATTTCTTATGTTTTCAAAGAATGCGTGACATTAGTTTACTGTGTTAAGCGAGCTCCCGCGGAGATGGATGCCCTCTGATGCTCACATTAGTTATAGGCTGTGACATCTGAAATGATGGCTAAACACTCTCATATGGCTGACATGTGTGGCTGGAGAACTTAAAGACACAGCCGGGCTTTGTTTTTCAGTTTTGGCGCTGATGCAGTAATAAGCTTGGCCCACAGTGGTTGATATTCACTCCAGATTTTAGCACTGATTTGTAGGTATTTACCCCTGAAGGTAACACTGTCAAAATGCAGGCTGTCAGTGCTGAAACAGTTATAGTTAAAAGGATTTTGTAGACTCTGGAAAGCAGAAATATTAAGGCTATTTGGCACGTTTGCCTTTTGTGTGTCAGTTTGTATTAATATTTGTTTCTCCTGTGGTTCCACAGTGTCTGAGATTCCTGAGTCTGTCAACACTGCAGACGAAGCCACGGTGAGTAACCTCCGCAATTATCATGACAACAATCTCTCTCCAGGCCGTCCAGCTGTTGTGAGCTCCGCTGGGTTGATAAATCACTTTTGTTTAAGGACGCTGACTGCTGTAGCATGACTGATGTTGCGATAACCTGTAACTGGCTTGAGATGTTATCCAGACTACACCAGTGCAGGTAGGGGATGAGCTCACCAGCAAGGATGAAGTGAAGCTTTGGGGATTAGTTTGGCTCTTGCTATGATAATCCACTGCTATTCTGGGGCAAAGACTACAGTGCAACACAGCAGAGCAAGTCAAGAAGAGAGAAGCTGCGCATATGATTCAGACAAGTAATACCATCTAAAGGCTGTCTTTATTTGTGCTGTCTTGTGGTCGAGTGTGCTTTTTGATGATACTCAGAGTTTGGGTTGCACCAAATGTGTCTGCTGCTTCACTTTCGTAGCTCAGCTTGCTAAGTGATTAATTTGACTCATTATAGGGGTTGGGAGAGTTTGGCAAATTTCTCATCAGTAATTGATTTACAGGCAAAGGCACAGACAAACTGTGCCACCGAAGCATCTTGCTGCCCTGGTTTGGATTTGGAACATTTCAGATTCAGCTACTGGTTTTCCAAGCTTTCAATTAGTGGATATTAGAAGTTGCCCGCAGTGCATAATTTCCAAAAATGATTAGAGAGAATTAATGCAGGCTTTTACAGTTTAATCATTACATGAACACATTTAAAATGTTATTATACCGTGCATTTATGTGAGTTTTTGAAAAACCACACTTTGGGTGTAGGGATAAACACACTCTCTGTAAAGGTCGAACACAGTCGATTTGTGATGTTTTTACTGGTAGCAAACTGCAAAACAGAATTGGAGAAGGAATTCGGTGAGTTATTAGTCAGGAAACATTAGGATTCCATAAATAATAGTTTGACCAAATGTGTTAACAAAAGTAGAGTGATCCGATTACTTAGATTTATTCAAAGGAAATACGGCATAGTAATTAATCTGGTAAATAAATATAAAACATTAATTTCAACAGTTACACAGTGATGCATTCGCAGCATGTTAACCTCAGACAGTTGGTACAGTGGCCAGCTTGACTAGCAATAAGCAACTGTAAATTTAAAAAAAAAGGAAAAAAGAAAGAGAGTACTTAGCGATATTGATCCAGCAAGGATTTTTGGGGAGTAGATAAAAGATGTATGATAGCAGATCTGACAAATTGGTTGGAGTTGTGACGTCAAATATCGGTTGCTTTGAGCAATATGTAGCAGACACCAACGGCTGGTGACTAAAGTTCTATGTTTTTCTTTAAGAGAAACGTAACATCATCTGCAAACATAACCTCCTGCAGTCATGTCAGTCAGCACACTCTATCGTTACTGTGAGGTTTAGTCAGAACTGCAAGTGATGTGAAACTTTTAACCAGAGGTGACAACGAAACACTGCTGTTGGTTAAAGCTTGTCATTATGATACTGTTTAAATGATGCATTAATAACTGCAGTCAAAAATGGAACTGAAAAATTACTCTTAAAATGGTCTTCAAATGTTCATGTCAAACTTTTGTTGTAAACCCTGAGAGGTAGATAAAAACATAAGAAAATAACAAATTCTTGTGTCGAGTTCAGAAATACCAAACATGTGAGTAACAAGCATGTTTGTAAAAATGTAGTTTAAAGTATATTTTTTGGACAGTGGCAGAGGAGATAAGTAGTAATATGGGAAAGGCATGCAGTGAAAGTCCAGACGACCAGGACTAGAATGATTAGGGCATTTTCACCCTTGTGGGATGCTCTCTAACCACTCAGTAATTGAGTCCCTGCAAAACTGAACAAAAATCATGCACAAAACATCAATAATATTTCCAGTTGATGTCATGTTTTTTAAAAAAACACAGAATGTTGGTTCTGAATAACAATAATTAAAAAAAAAGACTGTGTGACATCCTGATGGAGAGAGTGGAGCTCAAGAGATGGAAAGATGTAGACTGAATGAAGAGTTGTAACAAGGTGAGACTGGTAGTCAGAGGAGAATAACATGATTTTAAAGCTACTTAAGGAGAGAACAAAAGAGGGAAGGAGTTAATCAATTTCCTGCTTTACGGCTTCCCTTTTAGAATGGATTTAATTCAAAGATGTGCAACTAGCACGCAACTGGGAAAGGAAGTCCAATGACAGGGCAGCAGCAGGGGTTCTGACTGGAATGATTACAAGGACAACTCCTGTCAATGCTTAGCAGCTGGCCAATCAGAGCTCCTGCTTGTCCGGCTGTCTCCAGTCCACAATGAAGAAGAGGTTGTGCAGAAGTGCACTTGAGCCACATGGTTTAGATAATGAAGCCTATTTGCGATGCAGGTCACTGCTGTTGATGAGCCACCAGAGGACTTGACCCTGGAAGAGGACATCGACGATTACGTCCTTCCTCAACCCTCCGAAACCAATACAGTGGCAACAGCCGAAAATGATGTTACTGTCCTGGAGGAGAGTGAACCTCTTCCTCCTACTCCTATACTGACCACTATTGCACCTGAAGCTGGCAGTGAGTGTTCATCCTTAACACAAGCATACGTTCAGTCTTTCTATCTCTTTCTTCTTTCCTTTTCTTTCGTCTTCTATGACCTGGATGACTGAGAATCTTCACAGGCATTTAGTTTTCTACCTTTTCTTCTCCGCTCTATTCCTGCAAATATTACCCTTCTACTGTTTACGCTTACATTTCTATATCTTTTACGTCTTTAGTTCAAATATTTGGGTCTGTGGGCCTTGGAAAATGGTAGCCAGTTTCTATAAAAAGGAGACTAAAAGATTAAATTTCATCTCATCTTTGTTTTTCCAGGCATTGAGGAGGAGGGTCTGTTGCTGGAGGACACTGTGCAGACTCCTGCTGCAGAAAACCCTCCGACTGAACAACTCCCAGCTGAGCTTCCCACCCCTGAGCTGCCAGGGAGCGCCACACTGCCTGAACCGCCAGTTGAAATCGAGGCCTCTGGTTCAGGTCCAAATGACCTGGAAGGTCTATTGGAACCATCTACAACCACTGCAGAAGGAGAAGAAGAAGAAGCGCCCCTTGAGGAGACTACTTCGGAGAATGTGCTGACAACAGAAGAAGTCGGCATCAATGCAGATGTTACTTTAGAAGTGGAAGCTGCAGAAGTTGAGGTTGCTGCAGTGCAAGAAGAACCTACTACTGCAGTTCTGGAACTTCTGGAGGAGGTACTGAATGAGGTAGAGATCCCAGAAGACCTTGAGATCTCCACAATCACAACTGTGACCACAGAAGAAGAAAGCCTGCCTGCAGAGGTTCCTCTTCCAGAGGTTGTAGAGATAGCAAGTGAAGCACTGGAGCCAGAAGCAGCAGAAACGGGTCCAATTCCAGTGGAGGAGACACCAGAAGAGTCAATCCTCCCTGATGTTCCACCTGATGGGGTGGTTAACTCCAAACACCCTGAGGAAGATTCAGCCAGTAATGTGGTTTTGACCAATCCTGATGTACCTTCATCTGAAGTGGATGTCGTGGAAGAAGCTGAAGAGAGCGAGGTGAAGGAAGAGACTGCACCTGAAGCTCCGGTTG